TTCCCACCCCCTTCTTCCCCCCGCCTCCTGCTGTAACAGTCTGATACACTTAGATCTGGCTTCTCGGGAGTTAAGAAAAGCTGTCTGTGTGTTAAACTAATTTAATAACAAATGAAAAAATGATTTATTTATTTATTGGTAAGGAAAATTTGGCTTTTGGTTTCTTAAAACAGTTTTTTAACTTAAACTTGAATTTGCAAAAAGAGCCAGAAATGTTTTATGATTTTGAAAATAAAGGAAACATTTTAATTGTCTTTCATTTCATTTTGTCATTGGAACATAAAACAAAGCAAACAATCTTTGTTGGGAATTTTGTTAAAACCAAAAATCTTACAACATTTCCTTTATAAAAAACAATTAGCGTTTCTGAGCAACTCTTGGGGACGCTCTGAAGAGTAGCCTTTGTTTTGGAAATACAGTTTGGGGGTTAGGTACCAAAACTGGAGGTAAGTAAATCATAGAAGCATGGGAAGATAAATCCATTATATTTTTTCAAATAAACCTGAAAAAGAGGAATAACAGTGCTGCTGGAAAGGCTAAATGAATCTTTAGCAATACTGTAATTTTCTGTGGTTATTACAAAATAAGATGTAATGCTGATTCCCAATGCAGATGAAGAAAGTCCTCTGCTTACAAAAGCTTATTGTATACATCTCTGATTTAGTTAGTCTATAAGGTGTAAATCTACCTTGCCAGCTGCCTGACTTCAGACTAACAAACTACCTTTCTCTTGTACAGAACAAACTTGTTCATGCTGTTAATTAAACACCCTACTGAAGTAATTGCTCTTGGAAAATAGCTTACTCTTGTACATAGTCAAGTTAAAAAAAATTTCCATTATAATCCAAATATTCACCTTTAAAGCTGAAGTTTTTTATGTTTTATTTGCTTCACAGTTTTCTAAGCTATATGAAAGTGAAATAAATGCATGATTTCTGTTCTTAAAATGCCTAACCATGTTTTTGTGTCAGAAATTTGCATCTATATATTGAAGACTTAAGAATTTCACTTAGTTTTAAAACAATAGTCTACTTCCACAAAGTTGAGTATTTGAAAATTATTTTCTGAGTCCTTGCAGTAAATTATTCAATAGCCAAGAAAATGTACATAATGACAGACACAATCTGTGTAGATGCATATCTCAGGAAATCCATTGTCTAAAGTGGCTGATAGGTGTCAATCTGTTGGTTGACTAGTTCCGTAAGTTTTTGCCTCACAGGCAAGCTAGGGGGAGCTTAGATTGAGTTAAAAATGATCCAAGGTAAATAGGGATGAGGAGACTTTGGGGGATTCCATGATGCGGGCGGGGGTTGGGAGGGCAAGTGGGATCCAGGGGCAGGATTGTGGGGGGATGGCATCTGTGGGGGAGATCAGGAGCTAGCAGGGTCTGCAGAGGGGGATTGGGGAGCAGGTAGTATCTGTGGAAGTGATTTGGGGGATCAAGGGTGCAGGAGGCAGCTGCAGTGGGATCGGGCGTGGGGCAAGATGGATCTGCAGAGGGATCAGGGGAACAGGCAGGGTCTGCAGGGGGGTTGCTGGGGTCTGAGAGGGTTTGGCAGGATTGGGGGATTGTAGGGTCCATAGGGAAGTTTGAGCGGGACCAGGAGCTATTTTTAGCCCCCGTTTCCCCAGCAAAAATACACCCCCATTCCTTGTGCCCCTTCCCCCACCAGAACTTACTTCCTCAATGCCCAGCATCATCAAACAATGATAAAACTGGCAGCAGAAGCAGCTTGTGGAATAGGTGGTTTGGGGCAGGGGCTGGAACAGGATTTTTAATTGCATCCTGCCAGTACCCAGCCAGCATTGTAATCTGCTTTTTGCCCCTGCCTCCTCCAAACTGCTCATTTTTGGAATGTTTTCTTGCAATGTACAAAATTAAAACCTTAAAAGCAACTTGCTTAGTGTGACCCAAGCTAATCCAGCTAGTACCTTGTGTTCAATCTGCTAAGGGGAAATCTGCATGATCCTGACTGGAAGGTGATGGGGCAGTTGCAGAAAGATGTTCTGTGAGAGTTGACAATTTAACAGCAAGAGGTAAAAGGGGGTCAGTGAGGCAGGTTGTCCTAAGGCCCTTGAAAGAGCGCAGTATCTGGTGGCAGTTGGCACAGTGTCCTGTGGGATCCCCCAGGTATTAGGTACCTTGGGATTAACACCTGAAGCACTTCAAGAACTTGTCTGAGCGGTAATACACAGTCATACACAGTACCAACATTGTTTCAAAACAGAAATTGCTGTCCACAGAACTCTGGAGACCCCTGGAGAGATATGATTATATTATTAAGGCCAAATAGTGCACAGTTAATCTGTGGGAAATGCCATGCACATGTAGATGGTAATGCTTTACTGCACAGTAGATTAGTCTACTGTGCAGTAAAGCATCTTGTGTAGATGTACCCAATGTTGAGGATAGGCATCAGCTAAGCAGGACCAGATCCTTGTACTCTAACAGCACTTTCTATCCAACTATTTCAAAGCACTTTATCTACAAGCATCTTCAGAACTTCTTTCTTGAGAGTCATAGAAAGTAGTTTAAAAA